CAACCTTTGCTCCACACGTGCATCAAAAAGCCTTGGCTGCCCATCACCCTGTTGGCAGTTTTCCTTTCTTGGACCACTTCTAGGAGGTCCTGACCACAGTAGACCGGGCCTGTCCCACCTCAGCTGCAGTTTTAGAGTTGCTCTGAACCAGTCATCTAACCATTACAACTTGGTCCTTGTCAAAGTCACTCAAATCCTTACACTTGCCCATATTTTCTACTTTCAACATATCAACTTTAGGGACAACATGTTCACTTACAGCCTAAAATATCCCATCCACTTTAACCTCTTCCCATCCGGCCCATTGTCGATAAATGGCCAGACTGGAGCGCTGGTGACGTTTCAAAATGTGCCCCCGCATCCATTGCCTGTGTGCACTCCCTGGGAGCGTGCGGCACACAGAACACAGATCACTGTACGGGACCTCTGTGTGAGGTCCTGATTCATGTGATCACTGATTGGCCAATCAGTGATCACATGAATAGTAGTAAATAAGATATCACTTGTGACATCATTGCTTACTACGTGTGAAATCTGTGAATGATCACAGAGGTCACATGGTACAAGGCTATTCACAACAGCCTTGTACCATGTGACAAGCTGTGACCAATCACAGCTCACACAGTATTTCTCAATGGCTGCAGGAATGCAGCCAGAGAGAAGGAGAAATTATTTCTTTTACAGCCTTTATGGGTGTAAAAGCAATCAGTGTAAAAAAAAAAAAAAAAAAATCTTCATCTCCCCCCACAAGTAGTACAGTGTCACTATGGTGACATTGTACTGTGGTGACACTGTACTGCTAGAGTGAGAGTATGTTTTGAAAAAAACAAAACAACAATAACAATATAAAAAAACTAAATAATAATGTAAAAATAAATTTAGAAAAATTATAATTTTTGGTTATAAACTAATTTGGGTTATTTTATTTTTACTAAAAAGATAGATGAATACATTTTGGCCAAGATTTTTGAAGAAAGATTATTTATTTGCAAAATTTTATAAGAAAAAATATTTTTTTTCAAAATGTTTGGACTTTTTCATTTATATAGCAAAAAAATAAAAATCCCAGTGGTGAACAAATACCACCAAAATAAAGTTTTATCTGTCTCAAAAAAAATGCTAAAAAAAATCATATGGGTGCATGACCGCATAATTGTCATTCAAAGTGTGATAGCACCGAAAATTGAAAATTGGCCTGGACAGGAAAGGGATAAAAGCGTCTGGACTTGAAGTGGTTAAGATGCCTTTGTCATGAGATAATTGGGATGGATTTTTGGGAATAAAGATAAGGACAGTTGCTGGTCTATTTCCTTTCCTACAACTAGAGGATTGTCAGGGACTTGCTGTTATATTGACTCTCTGGTTTCAATCCTTTTCGGAGTCACTAATCCAGAACAAGTATGCAGACTTTTGGAAGATCAGAAAAATCAGATAAACATCCTTTCAAACTTCCTGAAGGGGACATGGTTTAGCACAAAGTGTGCAGGCAAAGGACACAGCCCTGCCATGCCCCTAGTCACACATGCCATGAACAATTGAAACACAAAACTTGTACATTTTTCACAGCTACTTTTCCTTTAAACCAGCTTTTGAAAATACCATATGCAATATTAGAGGCTGAAAGAAATGATTGCACTGCAGAATGAATGGCAGCTCATTGCAGGAGCAGCACCGTGGCTAAATGGTTAGCACTTCCACCTGGCAGTACTAGGGTTGCTGGTTCAAATCCCAACCATGGCACCACCTGCCTGGAGTTTGCATGTTCTCCCTGTGCCTGCGTGGGTTTTCTCTAGGTACTCTGGTTTCCTCCCACTCTCCAAAGACATGCTGGTAGGTTAATTGGCTCCTGTCTAAATTGGCCCTAGTATGTGTATGTATGAATGTGAGTTAGGAACTTTCAATTGTACACCCCTTGAGGTTTAGGGGCTGATGTGAATGTACAATATATATGTAAAGCACTGTGTAAAATTGACGGTGCTATATAAGTACCTGAAATAAATAAATAAATTGCATCAATGTATGTAACACATTACAGTAACTGGCACAGTTCAGCATCACAATATTGTGACTAGTCCCTACCACAGTATGTCCGGTCAGCCCCCACCCTGTCTGCCTTTAGGAAGTCTTTGAAAACTCACTTATTCATGGAAGCCTACCCCACCTCTACCTAAGAACTGTACTTGAATCACCTCCACCAGATCATCCCCCGCAGCTATCACCTCCACCTTCCTTTAGATTGTAAGCTCCACAAGCAGGGCCCTCATATTCCTTCTGTACTGAAATGTATTATTTATTTCAGGTACTTGTATAGCGCTGTCAATTTACGCAGCACTTTACATATATATTGTACATTCACATCAGTCCCTAACCCTCAAGGGGTGTACAATCTAAGGTCCCTAACTACATTCATACATACACATACTAGGGACAATTTAAACAGGAGCCAATTAACCTACCAGCATGTCTTTGGAGAGTATCGCTTCTCGGCCTTTTGGCTAAGATCAAGTGTAGTATCTGTTCTTATCAGTGTCCAGTGGGGGTGCTCCCGACCACTCTGTCTTTGTGGGGTTGGTTGGATAGTACCCTCACTGGTATGATGGGGGTCCGGAAGGCTGGACCGGAGGGACAGAAACCGGGGAGCGCCATGATTCGTTCTGGGGCCTCGGGAGTAATTCCTCTGGGAAGGCTGGAAAGACCCAGTACCTCCTGATTTGAGCAAGCTACCTTGGTCTGGCCAGGGGCTGGGGACGCAAAAAGTCCACAAACTCAGTGCCCCCTGGGGAGACGCGCTCAGGGGTGTCACTAGTAACACTTGGGTGTGGGACCCCACGGTGTGAAAATGACACTTGGCCACTGTTTTTACACATCTTTTTGCACAGCGCCCTAAGGACCAGGCCTTTTGGCTAAGTCCAGGGCAATTTTTGCTACGGGCCTCAGGGCCTGGTCTGTGCACAATTCGGCACGGTACCACTTTTTTATTTTTTCTTTCTCTTTATTTATTATGCACTTCCCACGTTTGTCACTTTTTTGCTCTTATGTGTGTGTTTTTCACGGATGGAGGGTGTGGGTCCTCGGGCCTACCCTGAAGTCTAGGGGGAGGATGTGTGGCCATACGGTTCCTTCCTCCCCTGATCCCTAGGGGACTCTTCTTCGGGAGAGTCCCCTCGCCTAGTACTGGATGTCCGGCTTCGGCTGGGCATAGGGAACGGTGGTCCACCAGGCCTTTTGGCCAGGAGGACCAATTGGGAACCTTGTCCCCGTCAGGAGCTTCGTGCCCCGGGGGATCAGGGTAAGCGGTCCAAGCCCCTTTAGGGGTAGGACACAGCACACCCCTAAGTGCACTTTTTCGTGTGGTGTTTTGCACTTGCACTTTTTTTGTGAACACTTACGGGTTTTTTTGTTATAGTTGCACGTTTGCGGACTTAAAAAAAAAAAAAAAAAAAGCATGTCTTTGGAGAGTGGGAGGAAACCGGAGTACCTGGAGGAAACCCACGCAGGCACAGGGAGAACATGCAAACTCCAGGCAGGTGGTGCCGTGGCTGGGATTCAAACCAATGACCCTAGTACTGCCAGGCGGGAGTGCTAACCACTTAGCCACTGTGCTGTATTGTAATTGTACTGTCTCCCTTATATTGTAAAGCGCTAAAACTGTTGGTGCTATATAAATCCTGTATAATAATAATAATGTAGTATACCATTTTTGTAATAACACAATAAATTTCTATAGAGGTCTAACCATCACACTAAAAAGAGACAAATGGGAAATAGGGAATTGATTTCAAATAAGGGACAATAGGCAGCTATGGGAAAATTTTAGAAGTCATTGTCTGTAAATTTGCTCCAAGGTACGCAGTACAGTCCATTTAACATGATTTCCTATGGGGCATGTTCACATCTATGCGTTTTCACCCGGTGCGTTTTTGGAAAGGGTCAGGGACTCTTTTGAATGCAAAAAGTTGCGTTTTTGGTTCTATAGACTTTAATGGAAACGCTGCAGAAAAGCAATGTAGTGAGTTTTTCCTGTATTTTTGATGCGTTTTTGAACCAGCAGTAAAGTCAGCCTACATTTTTTTTAAAAGTTATTACAGGGTTGAAACTGTGTGATACATACAGTATAAAATCCTGGTCAATGTACTGGGGCAGTTTGCTATTTGTGAGTGTTCCTCTTTCCCATTGTCTTCTGATTACAAGTATTTATTATTGAGCTATTGTCATCTAGTACTCTTGGTACACTGTTTAATAGTTCAGTATATTGTGTTTGCTAGGGCCTACAGTACTTATTGTTTATAGTATAAGGATTTGAAAAATGGAGCAGAATTTTATACTGTATGATTTGTTCTTTTACCCCAGGTTCACACCTAAGTGTTTTCTGCAGGGTATTACAGAAACGCAGTACATTCCATTTAACATGATTTCCTATGGGACATGTTCACATCTCCACGTTTTCACCCGGTGCGTTTTTTGGAAAGGGTCAGGGACTCTTTTGAATGCAAAAAGTTGCGTTTTTGGTTCTATAGACTTTAATGGAAATGCTGCAGAAAAGCAGGTAGTGAGTTTTTGCTGTATTTTGATGCGTTTTTGCCATGTTTTTGATGCGTTTTGCATTTTAAATCTGCCTGGCAACAAGAAAAAAAAAGCAAAACACAACACAAAATGCAATGCAGAAATGGCAATCCATAGGTGTGAACCTAGCCTTAGACTGATTTCTGATCTGGCTGTATTCTAGACCTGAATGTTGCTTAAATCCAGGGTATGCCTTCTGCAATGAGTCAATTGGATGAATTCTATTGTCTTTAATGTGAAGGGTGAATGGACACATGCAATCCTCCATCTTTCTCCCATAACTCCCATAGTACAATGAAGCTCCAGCTGACTGGTGACGAATCCTCAGATCTTCCTCTGTGTCTTGCTGTGAAAGCATCTGGCCTCCAGTTCCGTCCTCTGCTCCTCCCCTGCTACATTCCACTGACTTGCTCAAACTTCCCTGCTAAATCTCCAAAATGGAGACTCTCCCTCCTCCTTTCCCCTTGAAGTCCTCTTCACCAAAAACTAAAGTCTTCCTCGTGTTCTTTTCTATGGTGTTATGTACAGCGGCCCTATTTATTCTGCAGTTAAAGTTTTTCAAACCCAGGCTAAAAGACTTCTATTCCTATGAAGTGAAGGATTCCAAGGGAAGACCGGTTGCTTTGAGCAAGTACAGAGGCAAAGTAAGTACATTACAAGAGCCTGCATGCTTTTACTGAACAAACTGAAAGGAGAAGCTGCTCAGCAGTAGGATGTAGATTGCAAGCTCTTTGGGACAGATATTTGTTTTTTTAAATAATGTGCTATTAATGTCAATGAGGCTGTGGTTTGCTGCTATATGTATGTGCAGAGTGATCTTGCTGGTTTGTATGATAAGTCTTACCCTGTATGCTGTATTATTTTATACTGTACTGTAGTGTGCTATTTTCTGATGAGGAAGGCCTGTTGTAATGAATGTGGATCACAATCACCGAACAAAGAGAAATGGATGACTTTTTGCCAGCAGTGCAGGAGGAAAGATGGGCACAATGACCTTCTTGTATGTTTTGTCTTCTGGTCAGAGACATTGTCATTGCATGTTTTATCTACGTCAGCTAATTACCTACAGGCTTATCAGGATGGGAGTTTGACAATATAGATATTATATATATCACATTTCCTGACATGAACACTTTAAAGTTTTCATACACAGCCATCACAATATTCAGCCAAATTCACAAAATGTGTGCAACTTTTTTTTAGTCTCGACACATAAGTCAGACGATGATGAACTACAGCTCACATCCAGACCAGCCACTGACCATCTAGTGCATGCAAAAAGACAAAGAGAGGGCGCATAGGCCCAATGCATTACCATTAAAAATTGGTTTATTGTGTAAAATGTGATATACTCACAAAAGAATAAAAGTCAAAAGGCACATCATAAGAAATACAGCAAGGTCCAATCTCCCTGGAAGGTGTCTGGTTGGGGGCTAAAGGCCTCCAAATGTCTGACGCGTTTCGAGGCAATGCCACTTCCTCAGAGCCACTACAACATGATCATTTATAGATTGGGAAGAAGCACAGTTGCCTCGCTGCACTGGGGTCCCCGGTTCAAATCCTTGTTCAGGGTACTATCTGCATAGAATTTGCATGTTCTCCCTGTGCCCAAGAAGGTTTCCTCTGGGGACTCCCATTTTCCTCTCATCCTTCTAAAACATGCTTGCAGGTTCATTGGTTCATGTCTAAATTAGCCCTTGTGTCTGTGATATAGAGATGACATGTGAATAGAGGAATCCTCCCAATGAGACCATTGTATTCCAACAGTAGGATTCTCTGCTGTCAGAATACACGCTGCAGTTGTTGGACATTTTCCAATAGTCCTGGTCGACAGAAGTCGATCTAATGATCAACTTCTGTTTGAACAGGAATGGCCATGCATGGATCAAAATTAGGCTGGTCCTGCTGAAATGGCCAAAATTTGATCATCTATGGCCAGCTTTAGATTGTAAGTGCCTTGAAAGCAGGGACTGATATGAATGTACAGTATAAAAGAGCTGTGTAAACTGTTGGTGTTATATAAATACCTCTAATAAATAACATTTTGAGAAAATGTGAGCTTTGCAAGGGATCCAATAGGTGGGAGATTGTAGCTTACATCCATCTCTGCTGATAATTATTATTTATACAGGATTTATATAGCGCCAACGGTTTCCTCAGCGCTTTACATTGTAGTGGGAGACAATACAGTAACAATACAGTTCAATACAAGAGGGAGTTGAGGGCCCTGCTCCTTGGAGCTTACAATCTAGGAGATAAGCCATAATAAATAAAAATGACCTCACAGGGAGCAATAGTTGATAAATCAAATTAAACCAACCTCAGTGCAGCACTAAACCTTCTATGTACAAATATATCAAATAAATATATATATATATCACTAAACAACACTAAAAAATAAAATGAATAGAGCTGTTTATACATTCAGTGTCTCTTGGTTTCACTTCCACCCTTTTAGATTGTAAACTCTCCTGAAAAGGGCCCTCCTAATCCACTTGTATTGTATTGTACCTGCACTGTCTCCCTTTATTTCGTAAAGCACAAACATTTGGTGCTCCATAAACCCTATATAATAATAATAATAATACTTGAATTCCCCGTACAATTGAATTCTTCTGCAGTGTATTCAAATGTACATAAAAACAAATATTAAAACAGTGTTCTATAATTAATTGTAAGCCCTGATTCACATTAATGTGGCTTTAAAGTCGGGCGACTTTGACAGCCAACTTTTCTGTGTGACTTCATTAACAGATATCAGTGCAAGTTGCAATGAAGTTGCACAAAAATAGTGCAGGAACCTTTTTCAAAGTCAATAAGACTTCAGTCGCACTGTTTACAACGGGACCACTACCGGTAATGGGATGCGACTTGTCATGCGACTTTGAACCCACAAGTCAACATGATAAGTTGCACTGGTGTGAACCGGTGCTAAGTGTTTCTCCACAGTTAATGTACCCTTTTTGAATTTGTTGCTAATGATGTTCGGTGGATGTACATAATAGGTAAAGGAGGGTCTGATCCCATTCACACCCACCATGCATTGATTGCTAGAACTTGTAGTTCATTAGAATAGAGATTGACACCAAGAACAGTGTTCTATAATTAAGTGTAAGCCCCAGTTCACATTAATGTGGCTTTAAAGTTGGGTGACTTTGACAGCCAACTTTTCTGTGTGCAAGTTGCAATGAAGTCGCACAAAAATAGTGCAGGAACCTTTTTCAAAATCGCTGAGACTTGAGTCACAGTGATTAGAATGGGGCCATTGCCGGTAATGGGATGTGACTTGTAATGCTACTTCTAAGTCGCATGACAGGTTGTACTGGTGTGAACCGGGGCTAAGTGTTTCTCCGCACTTAATGTGCCCTTTACAAATTTGTTGCTAATGATGTTTATTGGGTGTACATAATAGGTAAACGAGGGTCTGATCCCATTCACACCCACCATGCATTGCCTGCTAGGACGTGTAATTCATTAGAATGGAGATTGACACCAAGGATATAATTGCACTTACATAGAGATGGGCACCAAACATTTAATTACACTCTTACATAGTAAAATATTTTATAAAGCATTTTTAATTAAGAAACATTATAAACTAGAGCCTCTAAGAAATCCTCCACCCTTCTTATCACAGCTGACTGATCTCAGGCTTTTCGAAGTTGCACAGAGCAATCTCTGTGGAATCATAGCTGTGTGGCCTGGGGCATTTACCAGTGACAATTCCTGGCCATGTACAGACATGTGAACACTAGAACTCAACAGATCCTGTTGGCCAAAATTCTGTAACAGCCAAACCTATAGATAAATGAATGTGGGAAGTGTACAGTCCCTGCACTGTATCAGCATCATCACTATGTCTCCGAGGGTTAAACAAACGACTTTTGGTTGTCTTTGCTCTGCAGGCGTCTCTTGTTGTAAACGTGGCGAGCGGCTGCCAGCACACAGATGCAAATTACAGAGCTCTGCAGGATCTGCACAGAGAGTATGGGCCTTCCCACTTCACTGTCCTGGCTTTCCCCTGCAACCAGTTTGGAGAGTCAGAACCTGACTCAAACCGGGACATAGAAGCTTTCGCTAAAGGGAAGTATGGATTGTCATTCCCAATATTCAGCAAAATCAAGATCCTAGGGAGTGAAGCTGAACCTGCATTCCGCTTCCTTGTGGGTAAGTGAATGAGCCTCTCAATCGTTGTTATTTAGAGGACTTCCACAAATGATACATTGGTTTATGGAAGAGGTTCCAATAACACTCATGGGTGAGTAAATAAAAAGTGTCAGATCATCAGAAAGAAAGTGAATTTCTTTGTTATTGATAGCCCTTATATATAGTAATACTTAAATTTATAGTATATTTCCTATTTTGCAGACTAATTGAGGTAAAACCTACTTACAGTGGTAGTAAACCCACTTTGTTCATGTATACCTACAGGTAAGCCTATAATAAAGCTCACTTGTAGGTAAAATTAATATCTCATAAACGTGCGCCGTTTAGGAGCTATTCTTTTTCTTTTTCAGTTGGCACATGCACTCTGAAGGAACGGCATACCTGTGCCATTCCTTCAGAGCAGTGTGCTGTGGCTCATGACTCCCGTGCACATGCATGGGAGTGACGTCATCACGGCTCAGCCAGTCATATGGCCGGAGATCGCGAACCCGGAAGGAAGACCAGCTGAAGATATTCTTTTTCTTTTAGGAGATATTCTTTTTTTCTTTTGTTTAGGAGATATTCTTTTTCTTTTTTAGTTGGCGCATCGCGGCTCACTCTGAAGGAAACAGCATACCTGTGCCATTCCTGCAGAGCATGTGTGCAGAGCAGTGTGTCGTGGCCCATAACTCCCGTGCGAATGCATGGGAGTGACGTCATCGTGGCTCAGCCAGTCAGATGGCCAGAGCTTGTGAAACCAGAAGGAAGACCAGGTGAAGATATAGGAGATATTCTTTTTCTTTCCTTCAGGAGATATTATTTTTCTTTTTTAGTTGGCGCAGGCACTCTGAAGGAACGGCATACTCATGCCGTTCCTTCAGAGCACTGTTCTGTGGCCCATGACACCCGTGCGCATGCATGGGAGTGACGTCATCACAGCTCAGCCAGTCAGATGGCCGGAGCTCGTGAACCCGGAAGGAACACCAGGTGAAGATACAGGAGATATTCCTTTTCTTTCGTTTAGAAGAATTCTTTTTCTTTTTTAGTTGGCACATGCACTCTGAAGCAGGGGCGGAGTGACCATTTGGAAACTCGGACACTGCCCGAGGGCCTGGGGTCAGTAGGGGGCCCCATGAGATGCCCCTAGTACCTTTTTCAGTAGGCTTTTTTGAGTTTGGGCAAGGAAACAGGGGACCCATGATCCCCTATTGCCGGGGACCCCATGAGTTGTCAGTCCGCCCCTGCTCTGAAGGAACGGCATACTCGTGCCATTCCTTCAGAGCAGTGTACTGTGGCCCATGACACCCGTGCACATGCGTGGGAGTGACATCATCGTGGCTCAGCCAATCAGATGGCCAGAGCTTGCAAAGCCAGAAGGAAGACCGAGTGAAGATGGAAGCCTTTACAGCAGTGACAGCGCACCGCTGGAGGGCTTCGTTTTAAGGTAAGTTTCACATAATGTGCTAGTATGCGATGCATACTAGCACATTATGCCATTGCCTTGCAGGGAGTGCTTTTCTTTTTTTTTATGCGGTTTACTACCACTTAATATGTGTTACATGTTCCCATTCATCTTAAAATATTTTCAAATTTTATATAAATACTATATAGGTATATATATTTTTTTTACTTTTTTGCTTGAGTTTAGATCTATGTTTATCCCAAGCATGTTTGAATCCACTTACTGATAACTAACTCACTACCTCTGCTGGAAGACTATTCCAAGCATCAACTACTTTTAGCAAAATAATACTTTCTAATGCAGTGGTTCTCAACCTTTCTAATGCCGCGACCCCTTAATACAGTTCCTCATGTTGTGGTGACCCCCAACCATAAAATTATTTTCATTGCTACTTCATAACTGTAATTTTGCAGTGGGAGGAGTAGTGCCATGTCATTGGTGTCAGTGGGAGGAGTAGTGCCCCATCACTGATGTCAGTGGGATGAATAGTGCCCCATTGTTGGTATCAGTGGGAGGAATAGTGCCCCATCGTTGGTATCAGTGGGAGGAATAGTGCCCCATCGTTGGTGTCAGTGGGAGGAATAGTGCCCCATCGTTGGTATCAGTGGGAGGAATAGTGCCCCATCACTGTTGGTATCAGTGGGAGGAATAGTGCCCCATCACTTGGTGTCAGTGGGAGGAATAGTGCCCCATCACTGATGTCAGTGGGATGAATAGTGCCCCATCGTTGGTATCAGTGGGAGGAATAGTGCCCCATCACTGGTGTCAGTGGGAGGAATAGTGCCCCATCACTGGTGTCAGTGGGAGGAATAGTGCCCCATCACTGGTGTCAGTGGGAGGAATAGTGCCCCATCACTGGTGTCAGTGGGAGGAATAGTGCCCCATCGTTGGTGTCAGTGGGAGGAATAGTGCCCCATCGTTGGTGTCAGTGGGGGAGGAATAGTGCCCCATCGTTGGTGTCAGTGGGAGGAATAGTGCCCCATCGTTGGTGTCAGTGGGAGGAATAGTGCCCCATCGTTGGTGTCAGTGGGAGGAATAGTGCCCCATCGTTGGTGTCAGTGGGAGGAATAGTGCCCCATCGTTGGTATCAGTGGGAGGAATAGTGCCCCATCGTTGGTGTCAGTGGGAGGAATAGTGCCCCATCGTTGGTATCAGTGGGAGGAATAGTGCCCCATCGTTGGTGTCAGTGGGAGGAATAGTGCCCCATCGTTGGTGTCAGTGGGAGGAATAGTGCCCCATCGTTGGTGTCAGTGGGAGGAATAGTGCCCCATCATTGGTGTCAGTGGGAGGAATAGTGCCCCATCATTGGTGTCAGTGGGGGGAGTAGTGCCCCATCACTGGTGTCAGTGGGGGAGTAGTGCCCCATCACTGGTGTCAGTGGGGGGAGTAGTGCCCCATCACTGGTGTCAGTGGGAGGAGTAGTGCCCCATCACTGGTGTCAGTGGGAGGAGTAGTGCCACATCATTGGTGTCAGTGGGAGGAATAGTGCCCCATCATTGGTGTCAGTGGGAGGAGTAGTGCCCCATCATTGGTGTCAGTGGGAGGAGTAGTGCCCCATCATTGGTGTCAGTGGGAGGAGTAGTGCCCCATCATTGGTGTCAGTGGGGAGGAGTAGTGCCCCATCATTGGTGTCAGTGGGGGGAGTAGTGCCCCATCATTGGTGTCAGTGGGGGGAGTAGTGCCCATCACTGGTGTCAGTGTCAGGGGGAGGAGTAGTGCCCCATCACTGGTGTCAGTGGGAGGAGTAGTGCCCCATCATTGGTGTCAGTGGGAGGAATAGTGCCCATCATTGGTGTCAGTGGGGGGGAGAATAGTGCCCCATCATTGGTGTCAGTGGGGGAGTAGTGCCCCATCATTGGTGTCAGTGGGGGAGTAGTGCCCCATCATTGGTGTCAGTGGGGGGAGGAATAGTGCCCCATCACTGGTGTCAGTGGGGGGGGAATAGTGCCCCATCATTGGTGTCAGTGTGGGGGAGGGGAGAATAGTGCCCCATCACTGGTGTCAGTGGGGGAATAGTGCCCATCATTGGTGTCAGTGGGAGGAATAGTGCCCCATCATTGGTGTCAGTGGGAGGAATAGTGCCCCATCGTTGATGTCAGGGGGTGGAGGGGGAATAGTGCCCCATCGTTGGGGTCAGGGGGGGGGGGGGGAAATAGTGCCCCATCGTTGGTGTCAGTGGGGGGAGGAATAGTGCCCCATCATTGGTGTCAGTGGGGGGAGGAATAGTGCCCCATCGTTGGTGTCAGTCAGGGGGGGGGAGGAATAGTGCCCCATCGTTGGTGTCAGTGGGGGGAGGAATAGTGCCCCATCGTTGGTGTCAGTGGGGGGAGGAATAGTGCCCCATCGTTGGTGTCAGTGGGGGGAGGAATAGTGCCCCATCGTTGGTGTCAGTGGGGGGAGGAATAGTGCCCCATCGTTGGTGTCAGTGGGGGGAGGAATAGTGCCCCATCGTTGGTGTCAGTGGGGGGAGGAATAGTGCCCCATCGTTGGTGTCAGTGGGGGGAGGAATAGTGCCCCATCGTTGGTGTCAGTGGGGGGAGGAATAGTGCCCCATCGTTGGTGTCAGTGGGGGGAGGAATAGTGCCCCATCGTTGGTGTTGGGGGAGGAATAGTGCCCCATCGTTGGTGTGTCAGTGGGGGGAGGGAGCACATCGTTGGTGTCAGTGGGGGGAGGAATAGTGCCCCATCGTTGGTGTCAGTGGGGGGAGGAATAGTGCCCCATCGTTGGTATTAGTGACACAAATGATGGGGCACTATTCCTCCCACTGACACCAATGATACTTACTTTGCTGACCCCTGCTCCAGCCTGGGCTCGCTCTCTCACTTACCTGTCAGCTGTCTTCCTTCTCTGGCCGCTCTCCTCTTCACTCGCTCCGGCAGCTCCCTCGGTCTTCTTTGATGTACGCGCGCTGCCGCTCGGCTCCTCCTCTCCAAGCTCCACCTCCTCGCCGGTGATTGGCCGCCTGTGTGCCTCTCCTGAGCTACAGTTCCGGTGGCCAATCAGCGGCGAGGAGGCGGAGCTGCTGAGCGATCCCGGAGGTGTGGCCAGGTGACAGCAGCGTATCATCCCGCCCACACATCGCCGGAGACTGCAGCGGTGTCTCGGTTCCTAAGACCATCGGAAATATGTATTTTCCGATGGTCTTAGGCGACCCCTGGGAAATGGTCGTTCGACCCCCAAAGGGGTCGCGACCCCCAGGTTGAGAACCGCTGTTCTAATGTAATGTTAAGGAGGGGTGGGGAATTATGGGTACCATAATTAACCCTACCTGTACTATGGTGGCAGATCTCATGAGATGTAATCAAGATGTGTACACTGTCTGTCCTAACTAAGGGTTAATGATCTCAAGACTCGAGCAGTGCATTGTATGTTAAGGTATTTTTAATAATTTAATTTTTAGTCATTTCCAACTGACTATAGAATCCTATGTAAGAAACAGCTATAAAGGTAAAAATGTGTTTAAGTATTTTTAGGTATGCTGCGTGTATAGGAACGCATAACAAATAGCTGAGGTTTGTCAAATCTGACTAGAAAGATGGAAATACACTTTAAATATAA